TCACTTCGTCTCAATTTCACTTCACAGTTCGAATCAACTTCTCATTCTGTGGTATATACTATTCACTGAATACGTTAACGATTGTTGACAGTCGAAATCAACAATACAACAATTGAATTGAATTGCTCACCAACATTGGACAGTCAAATAATCAATTATAGAGTGTATTTAATAGAATGAGAATTTGACTTTAATTGTTGAGTGAAATGAATGAGAAATTCACAGAAGAGAACATTTTTGGTGATAAAAGCTATGAGAGCGATTGTAACAGCTCGGAAAAGAATGAGAACCCTGTTAAAACGGATGAAATATACGGCTCGCTTGAAATTTCAGCTTCTCTTCGGGATCACTCTTTGTGAGCAATTAAAATACCCTCGGGCTCTTGACCCTTATCCAATCCAACGGTGATGGAGGCTGACATTGACTCTGGGTAACAAATTATTGATAAGACGAACATTTTCCCAACTGTGATGACCAATTTTTAGAGGCCGGAAATGAAGACGACTATTCGAAATATGAAAGTTTCAATAGTGGCGATTGCAAAAATGGACAAGCGGATGCAGTCGGTGAAATGAAATTTTGCAAAAGAATGTGTTCATTATCGAGTGTGTTTTGAGCTTCATCAATCTTTCGGGACAAATATTGTCAGTTTATAAGTGAACGAATAATCTGATTTGAATTCGATTTTTGACAAATCTAACCGGCTTCATTATTGAACTTATTCATTACACCTACGAATACTAAGTTTGACCTGAAGATTTCTGTGAATCATATTTCTATATTTTTGCTCTATCCGTTGCAGATGTGCTGAAAAAAGTCAACAGTGGTTTTACGAATCGGATTCATCGAACACTGACAATGTCATCAGCATCATTCAAAAGAAACTTTTTCGACTTGACTGAAGAGGAGGTTTTCACATTTAATGACGTTTGTTGAGGGAAAACATAATCGTGCAAGCGATTCATCCGCCTAAGGAACGCATTTAGTGGATTTTTAGAATATTTGATGATTTTCTTTCCATTGCCTGGAATAGAATTCAGAAACTTTTAAGAACTGTTATCACAATATTCTTCAGAGTAACATAAATGTTACTTATATTCAACCGTAACATGTTTTTGGTTTTTGGTTTCAAAAATGGAACCAATTTGCAGCTGTGCATCTAGTTTTTGATCTTAGGTAAATCATTATCGTTTGTTAGAATTGTAGCGAATTTTAGCGAAGGAATTGGGAAGCCGTACGCTTAAAAGAGCGGGTGAAACTTTGTGAAAGCATTATCGACCAAGCACCGTTTCAATTAGTTCGACGCACATCTCTGCATAAGGTTTGTTACAATTACAAAAAAACAGAAGTTTTAATGCTGGCCATGTTCAAGCACTTTGTTGTGTGTGTTTTGAACTGTTCGGCACGATTCGACTGATATGTTGTCATTCCAATCAACGATTTTTTGCTGTGCTTTTGTGTTGTAAGTTACCCAAAATTTAGCGAATTCTTTTGTAGCAACTAAACTGATAGAATGGTTAATGCACTAACTTTCAGGTGCACGCTTTGTTCTCGTTGCTACATTTGCGATGTGCTTACGTGATTGATCGAGGTCGTCTTGTGGGTGTTGTTGGCCTGACTGATGTGAGTTCTTCCATTTTCCTTTTTTCTCGGTGTTCAACACTTGAAATTTAAGGGAAAAGTGGTGAAACATGAAACACGAAACAGAAGGATTGGGGAAACAACAAAAAATATTGTATTTGTGCAATCAACTTCTGTTGTCCTCGAAAAAGAAAAAAAACTATTTTAATTTGAACTGATTGTAAGCAATTTAAAGCACTCGAATATTGAAGCATATTCTAGTTGAGGAAAGCCATTGAGAACGCCTATGAATCCAAATCTAATCGCCGTGATGAAACATGGGGCGCAGACAGCGATGGTTCGATCGCAACCAAACCAACAGTAGTGGACGAGAGACGGAATTCCATGTTTCAGGTAGTGATTACAGAATCGTAATCATTTACCAATCTGGGAGCGGGATTTTATCCCGAAGATCAAAGAAAGATCATGAACGGAAGCGAATCAGCGGATTTGACCAGCTTATCAAATAGTATCCCCATTTTGAACAATTGTCATGCAATAACACACGATAAACATAGTGATGAAAATGCAGATTGCTTCAAAATCTGTGATATTACGAGCGCTTCTAGCAAGCACTGATTAATTTAACATCTACAATGGAGACGTTTTCATCAAGTGATCTGCAAACCTGAAAACCATAATTTCTGGCCACTGGAGGAGGCTTTACAACATTTCAACTGTTATCTTTCAAGACAGGTTGCGTTTGACGTTCCAGGATATGTGTTCATTATGTAATATTTCAACAGTTCATTCTCAATATTTCAAGGCAATCTCGAATCATTTATAGCATTCCTGGAACGATTGTGAGTGATGTTCTTTAGTGTTGTAGTGGTTCGACTTCTCATTCTGCTCCCAAAAATGATCTATCTCTTAATGTCTCGGCAATTTGAAGATGACCAAGCTAGCAGCCTACTTCCTTCTCCCACTCCTCCTGTGATATATATGGTATTGTTGACGAGCAATAAATAATTTGCAACATTTTTTGTCACTATCGTTTCAACGTCTTATGTCGGCCGAGTCCATCATTTCACAACCACAATCAAAACGCAGTGAGGCATGAACGAAGTGAAATTGTTATGTGAACAATAATAATAATAATAATGAACATNCATGCATGTATGTGTTGTATATTTTATATCATCACATTATAATGTTTGAAATGATGCATCTTAGTTGTTTAGTGCTCATTACACATAATTTCAACATGTTAGTGGGTTTTGTTTGAGCAAAATTTACAGCGAAGAAATAATCGTGGCAACAATGCGAAAAATTCATTTGAATGAAAAAAATCCTGTGTAATTATGTGGACCAAATAAAAACACTCTCATGTTCACGACTAATGAAGTCGCCAGTCGCCAATAAACTCAACCAATCAAATTCGATTTCCGGCCGACGCAACTAATAATGTTCGGGTATCATCAATACGAGGTGATTGAAGATGTGTACGATGGATTGAAGGCGATTATGAAAATTCGTTTAATATCTCACACTAATTGCTTTTCAATGTGCAGCATTCATCCAGAAAATGGGACGACTCAGCCAGAAAAATATGGAGAATGCGACGGATAGTTTTTGTGATTTCAAATTATTGACTTTTATTGGCCAGTCGGACATCAGTGATGTCCAGTAATTGACCTTAATTCTGTTCGTTGACTAAGAGTTGTTTTGCATAATAATTTTTGCGACGTCTGATCGCATCGCATCACATCGCCAACCGAATTCTGCGATGTGTGTTCGTTCGTATTTCCTGTTGCTAATTGAATAGATTTCTTCGTAGAAATTGACAGCAGCACCGGCTCGCTCAATTGAATGAGTCTGTACGTGAATGACTGCTGCAAATATATGACAATGCAATTGCCAGATTGATATCACTTCAAGCAATTTTCGGTTTCAAATCTCACTACTCATACATTCATCTTATTCCATTCGTATAATGCCAATTTTGGTTTTTTTTCCGAACAGGAAGGACTTTTCTAATGAATAACAATAAATGACCGAGTAATTGTGGTTGTAATTGCGAAAGGAACCAATTACAGCGATCATTCCTCCGCACAATAACAATAGCAACAACATCAACAAAATCCCTCGCTTAATACCATCCAAACACTATGCATGTGTGCATATCCTATGCAGAATTTATTGCAAAAATATGCAGTGTTCTATTGTATCAGATCAGTTTCGCAATAGTAAAATTGCGAAACCCAGTATTAGTAGCCACAACAGCAGCTATTCATGCATTCATCCACATAACCAACCATGCATTTATCTGTCGTCCAATATTCCTAGCTGATCAGCATTATTCAGCCATTTTCTTTATGTTCATCTAAATGCTGCAGCCGTTTTCTTCATCTCCATCTTCATCTCGTTACGGTTTCATTCAGTAATTACACGTCCTCCTCAACGAATGAGAGGAAACCAGTTTCTTCGAACAAAATTCATTTTCAATTTTCAGCATCAACAATGAAAATAGCTAGAGCAAAAAAGACGAACCAAGCAACGAAGTTACTAAGAAGAACATCAGATTAGGCGGGCGAAGCGGAGAAGAAGGTAGTTCCATCGGATGCGCGATGTTCGCATATCGTCCTGTCTGTCTTCCTGTAAAATTATCCGAACAACTCAATTCCTTTCGTAATCATCATCATCATCACTCAAGAGCATCCCCCATTTCCAGCTTCCGAAGCAGCTCTAAATGTATGAAAGCTAACCCATCCGGCATACTTTGCAGCGTTTTTTGTATTGTATTATTAACTCGGATCCAGCCACTTGTAGCCACAATCACTCTATCAAACATATGAAGTGTGATGTATGTCAGAACTAGAAATTTCTCTTGTGCAGAAACTTATTTCCGAACGAGAAATTAATTGATAAATGCAATTCGATGTTTTTTGCGTCATACTGAAAGTGCAACGAAAAAAATTGAATGAATTTTGATTTGCTATGATCTCTACGATTGAATGCTTCACACAACACCTCTATATGCATACTACGTTCAGTTGCGTAGAAAACTTTAATGTATAGGTGTTCGTAGCATTTTACTAATTGTAAGAAAATTCTGCTGTTGTCGTTGTTATTGTGGCATGCATTTCTTGTTCTTTGCTTGTGAATCGCCCTCTTTCATTGAGAGTTTTGTCAGATGTCTTNTCCGTGTTTGAAAACAACAACACTGTTCGTCGTGACATTTTATATTTTGAAGATTTGACAGTACTGGAATTGTTCGTTCTTGCTTGCTACTTCACATATTCATTAGCAAAAAATTCGAAATCATTGTTTTTTGTTGAGATTCTTAAATAGTTTTCAATCATCACTTCTTTTGCGAACCTCTATCTTAAACGTTTCAAATCAAATATGCTCAGCGTATCATTCCCACATCTATCATCAAGAGTTGTTGGTTGGCTCTCGAACGCATGCACATAATCGCAATCTTTGTTTTCAGTGGAACCGAACTATGAAAACCAACCGAACTGTTTTCGGTCTCTCTCTGTGATTAGTCCTTTCAGGTGAGTAGTGATTGATGAACAATTTGAGTATTTTTTTGCGTAGAGAGCATTATGTGGCGATGACTTTCTCATTTTAATGTCAGCAATAAATCAAATTATAAATAATCGCGAATTGTTGCGAAGTTCATGCTTTTTCTAACAATAAGTGCAATCTTAATGAATAAACGTATGTGTGTGTGTGTGTGTGTCAATTTCGTTTGGGAATATCGTATGCTTTGCGCTCTATTGTGCAACCATCTCATCTCCAGTCAGCGATCCGAAAAAAAAAACTTGTCAGTTACGTTCTTCGCGTTTTGTTGTTTTTTGGTGGTGGCGTGAAAAAATCAGTCATTTTAAGAGTAAAAATTTCTCGCTCGCTCAATCCAACTCATTAATGTGTCAGTCAAACCGTCGAGTCACTAGGAAGTAGTGAAAAAAGAAAATAAGGTGAATGAAAACGACAAACGCACACTTTTCAAGCATTCATCATTGGCAATTCGACAGTGTTTCAGAGAAGAACTCATAAATTCTAAATTCGAAAAATTAAGGCATCCAGAATGAAAAAACTACGCATCATCTCACCAATTGCGCATTAATTTCTCTCACAAGCCTATTGGATTGATGATATTGGTTTCGACTGTGAACAAAGCAAAAAACAAAACAGAAAAGAAAGAAAATTTGGTGACTAATAAAAATTTTATGAGCAAATAAGGGATAATGATCACACAGATATAAAGTTGTTGGTGTCTTCTCCAACTCTAAAGTGTGATTATTCAGCCGCATTTCCGGTGTTAACTGGTGAAATGAAGTGAACGATATGTGCTGGGGGAGCGGAATGAATAAAATTGCAACGAAACATTCGAAGTTGTTCATTTCGCAATTTTGCAAGTGCATCTCGAAAATTTCCACCAAATTAAACGTCCTACCCCTAACCCATTTCATTGTGTAAACTAAATTCGCTCATTTCAATTCCTTTCACCTTTTGGTCCTAATTGAGCGAATTAAGTAATTGTTAATGATTAAGTGATTTGGAACAATAAGGTTTTCTTCTTCTTCACTGCACTCAACTCAGTTCTCATTTCATCTGATAGTCATTGTCATTTTGCAACTTCTAGGAGGAATTTGCTAAAACTTGATGATAGTATTTCTGCTGTTTTTCTCCAAACAACTGAGCATTCTGTCCAGTCGCAGCTTTTCATTCTCGTAAGAACACGGTTTAACCTACTTACCTACTTTCCTCAATGGATTCATCTCCTCTCCTATGAGGCTACCGGAATGTATTGTAAAAGTCTCGGAAACTTTCATTATTGTCAGTCAGTCAGTCGATCAGTACCAGCCGTATGCGATAGGATTCTTCTGTGAAGTTCGCTCGATAAACATTGCGCATTTTTGTGTTTTCTTTTTTTTTGATTCAATTGTGTCAACATTTCAACGACCTCAACCAACGAAACATTATTCAGCATGAAACTTACATGAATCACACATGCACACACATTTATAGACATGGTTTTATCGAAATGTTTTGTTTACCGTCTGTACCTTACGCATGCATGCATCTTGCATACTAAAAATGCAATGAATGTTAAGGTGTGCAGTGCAATCCATGCTGATATATCATATAAAACTTAAAAAATTATCAGTGATTGCCAGAATCTCACAACTGAAAACGATGAATTCAATGCCTTGCAATTGCTCTTATTGCTGTTGTTGTTAATTTAGTTGCTTGCAGTTATATTCACAAAATCGCACGGTTATGTTCTTCACAAGAAGAACGAGAACAACGACAGTATTGCTTTTCGTTCTTCTTATTTGACAGTTGTTCATTTGTGCATTTCATGTTCTCTTCATTATTTCTTCGAGGAAGTGATCGTATCGAAACCAGCCAACGGACAGCATAATAGCATTTTGCTAGTGATGTGTTCGTTCACATTCAATTCAACAAAACGGCAAAAGCAAAAGTAACCGAAAAACGCAATTAGATACCACCACCACCCTGTATACGTAAAAATAAATAAAACAAGTTACTGAACATCTCGATTTATTTTTTTTATATTTTTGCTGTTCACAAACATTTTCTTTGTCCATTTAACCGAAAAATTATCTATTTTAATATACAATTCTTTCGCCCCTTGTATAACCTTCGTTCATAATTCATCTTCATCTTCATCATCAGTCACATTATCATCATTCACATTATATTCATCAGTAATTCTGGTTGATATAATGCGAAAAAGTGAAATGTTTTTTATAAGTTGTAATTTGTAAGGAGAAAACGATAAACGAACGAACGAAGGAACAACGGACTGACGACGATGTTTCGTTTTGAATTCAATCGTGTCCAATCGAACAAAACTACAATCCGCAGCAGATGAGATGCGAATATTACAGTTTTTTTCAGTAGTTCAACCAGAAAAACTAGAAAAGCTATTTGTTAAAATCAACGAAAAAACAACACACACACAAACAAGTACTAATACTACTACTACTTTTACTATGATCGTCAATTATTGTCATGACATGTCATTGAAACGATCCCGTGTACAATCACCGAATTCCACTGGTAATGTTTGCTCGTGTATGTTTCTGTTGAATGATTCTTGTCTTTCTTTCTTCGCTAAATCTAAGATGATGGCTCTTCCTTCTTACTTTCGACCACCGTTCCAGGAAAGCTTCTGTGCGTTCGCTCTTATTGCTATGCGATTTTCAACTGTCGGTTTCGAAGTTTCTGTTTTTGGATGCATCTCAAATGCAAAATTGTTCACTCTCTCGTTCTGAGAGTTGAAAAAGGAATCAAGTTGAGAAAGGAATCAATGCTTTTACAATCTCTACCAAAATTTTCGATGTAAATTTTAAAAATAACGCTCCTATTCATTGTCGAGTTGTTTCGAAGGTATGACCGACCGAACGGGTCAAATATCTCTAATTGTAAGAAGTTTCCATGGTTCAAATTGAATGTTACTTTATTTCACACAGATTGAGAATATATCTATGGATGAACGTGAAATTGTGCAAAAAACTGCCAATTAATCATTCTGATGATACATTAATTAATAAACCAGAAATATGACAGATTCATAAATAAACACACCATTGGACAGGAGCAATGCTGACAATAATGACACCAATATATTAATAATAATCATTTTAATGTTCATACAAATAATACTCGTAATAATAACAAAACATTACTTGTAATAAATAACAGTACCAATGAGAGAATATCAATGGCAATGACACGATCAAAAATAATTGCAACATCACGCTAATCACCAATATTAAACTAATCACTATCGTTATGAGCAACTGATCTGACCTTACTGTATCAAACACAATCACAAGAGGAGTTTTTTTTGTGATTTGAATTGTTATTATTTGTGCGGTTGAATCCAAAAAAACGGTAGGTACTGTTCGTTGATGAGGGAGTATGAATAAGACAGTCAATCATCACGCATTCTCATCTTAAGTCGCACATTATTTAGTCACTCGTTTCTGGTTTCCTTCTGCAAAATTGTCCGTGCGCTTTCGTTGGGAATAAATTTCCTCTATTGTTCGTATTATTTGTTGAACTTATTTTAATGATTGGATCGTTGTCGGTGAGTTGTTTTTGTTGTTTGTTTGAGGAAGAGGCTGGTTGACTTCTTCACTTCTTCATTCGAATGCATTTTGTTCTTTTGAATGCTCTGAGCAGTGCCGATCGTGTATTGTGCGCGCAGTCTTCATTTGCTGGGAATATTACGGATAGATCGCCGTCTTGTGAACGATTTGGCGCATTAATCTGGATAAGTGAATACTAATAAGTGGAACGATGATGCGCTGTTGTTCATTTTGTTCATTATTCATTCATTTGTGCAGTCGTTATTGACAGTATTTTGTTATGTATCATTCGGTGAGTGCAGTTTTATCTTTACAGGTTATTATCCACTAGATGGATTATCCAGTAGAAGTTTACAGGTGCATCGATCTGATGGAAACGCTTCAAGAGTTAGCTGTAAATACGATTAGGAGCAAAACTGGGTTCAGTGCCTCGAAAACCGGTGGTGTGGTAGGGTCGTTGGCCCAAGATCTCGCAAGTTTTAGGGGATCCCCGAGATCTGGACTATCGAGAGTACTGAATAGGATCGATCGACCTTTGAGCCCTGCCCTCGGAGGTCGTCGATTCACTCTAGCTCGAATTATTACGATAAGTGCATTCGTCGTATAGTTTTGCTGGCAGTAAGCAGCAAACATCTAAAAGCATTCATTTATTCTTCTGGCCTTTTTGGAAGACCGTCAGCGATACGGCATCTGATGCATATATCAAGATGGATTACATAATGCAAATGATCAGTGGAAAACTGATCATGAGATCTGTGCATCATGAAAACTGATCTATGCTATGATCTGTGTATGCCACCGTTCGATCCAAAGAATTATCATAATCTGGCTGGAAGGATTACCTTGTCGCTTTTGATTTTTATCATCTAACAATAAGAAGGTTATCACAGAAATTCGGTCTAATTCTAAAATCTCATTTTGAAAATCTAGTAGTAGGTGGAAGCAATCCGATAGCAAAAACAATTTTAGTGTCCCATTCTATTATCTCATTGTAGCAGAAGACAGATGCTCATTCTTCGCTTGAAATTCTTCTTGAAACCTGAAATTTGGACATATGAGTTCTGAATAAATCAGGTTTCTGTTTTTGTACAGATCTCCCTCACATTACCACTGCTTTACAATGAATCAAGGCAGTTTCTATGAGATTTCCTGCGTGGATTCGTATCGCATAACATTCCAAAATTCAGCTGTTGATTTCCGTCGAAAACTGGAAAATGTAAAAGCTGCAGTTGTTTCATTGTACGGACCGCATTCTCTCTGAAAAAGAGTTGTTTCTTTCCTTAGCTAACAATTTACGAATCCTTTTGCCATTGTTGACGTGACATGAAATGGAACTCAACGCATTCCAGAGCGCACTGAAATCTCTGTGAATTCGAATGCAACATTGAGCAGGTTCCTGACTATTCAAAATTAAAAAAGAAATTTTCTGTAATGTCCTCACATCTACAAATTATTTCTTCAATAGGTCCTTCTATTCTTTATTCAAAGAATGATGACAAACCGGCTTGTTCAGTTTCCGGCCATGGATTTGATACTCTCCCATTGGCAATGGGAGCTGAACAAACTCGATCGTAGTCGCGACTGGGTTCCATGAGTTTAATTACGACGAAATGGAAAACTCACTATGAGTTAAAATCTCTTTTCAAAACATCTTTTTGGTCTTGAATAGTTTGAAATGTTTCGTGGACTGTATGCATTGGAAAACTGAATCTGAAACTGTAAATTATTTGATAGAATGTTCTTGAAATTCTCATGTGTTATTCAAATTTTTCTCAGTTCATTGAGGACTCCAGAAGGAACACTCGAAGACGAACTATCCATCCTAATTCAATTCCGAAGAAAGAATTTTTCTTCATATATTTTCGTTTACACTCGTATCACCTTACATGTGGATAAATGACATTTCGGGAATATGCACACCGATTATATATATTCACGTCGGATCATATTTTTTGTTCTCGACTCATTCGTATTGTACAAACCGTCTTGATAGCTACATCAAATCAAGAATTTTGGATATACTTCAAGTAAATGAATGAACAAATTTATCCGCGATTGCTGGTTGTCATGCAAAGCCATTACAAATGAACTATCCAATTAAATTTGATCAACTTGATTGGATATGTTAACTGTTCGGGGAACGTGANTGATTCGAACTTGTTCAAAGTCATGTGAATTGTTCAATTTTGGTTGAGTGAAACGTGAAGTTCACGTATTTTTCTGCTGCGTGCATTTTACACGATGATTGCAACTCATCCAGCAATTGCATTAAAGATAAGTGTAAAGTTTGTTAGTTCTACGGTGGTTCGGCGTCATTTAGTCTGCAGCATCGCTTCAAATAGCACTATAAACAACTCTTCTTCAAAAATGTAAATTCCACGAAGATAGCTCTAGAGCAAAACATTCGGAGAAAGCACTGAAAAATGAGAGAATTGTTTGTTAATTGTGTATTTGTTTGTGTGTGATTGCTAACCGCTGAGAGATTGAGACTAATAACGTTTCGATAGCATCGTTTGATCCGGTTTTGTTATGGATGCATCAAAAGCAGGTGCAAAAAAAAGAAGAGAAATGCTATGTAATTAGATCGTTCTTTCGTTCCTAACGATGAAATGATCACTGTTGGTGTTATTTACGTCGTCAAAATAGGAAATGTTAAGAAAAAGCAAAAAATTGTTATCATCCCTTCTGACTGATCGCATAAGAAATCCTTCCTACATGATACTGTGAAAAAATGGAACACCTGAAGGGACATTTTAATTGTATTGAATTAATTAATCTCAGTGCAGTTTTCGTCCCAAATATCTTCCTCTATCTGCAAACTGGAGAGAATGAATTCAAGTGAAAGTGAAGAAACAGAATGATTTGTGTTCTAACTTTGCGAAAATCGCTTTTTTAGGGATTTCCTTCGTTGCTGTTGAATAGCTAGTCATATTTTCTTCTCTCTCTATTCGAATGCTTAGAAATTCAACTGGAACTTAGACATTCAATTAATCAGATATATTCGAATCAGGAAATATTAAGATCAGTGAAATGTGGGAAAAACTAGATTAGATCAATGAGATCAATGCAATATTAGCTGGATATTCGCGCCTATTTACTGTACTTTTGCTTCTCGTCAACGAAATGTTCCAATTAATGTGAAGTGAACGCGATAATGTGTGAGTTTCGCGTACGATTTCTACTCGCAGTCAGCAAAAAAAGTTGATTAATAATAATAATAATTTTTTGTTTGAAGGATTCAATCAATTGTCTCAGTCCACACACAGACACACATTAATAAAGCAAGAAGATGAAGAGCGCCGAGAATTATCCAAATTTCGATTCTGATATTAGCAAAGCGAAATATCAAGAAGCCGAATCATTCAGACGACTTGCCTTCTTCGGTGTTTTTCTCTCAACGATTGCCGCTCTAACAAGCATAATTGCCGTTCCAGCACTTTACGGTTACATGCAAAGGGTACAATCTAAACTACAGGTTCGTTGCTGTTCATTTTCATGTGTCAATCTTCTTCACTGATATCTGTGCCATTCATCATTACATCTGCAGTATATTCCATAATAGATTTATAGGTCTCTTTGTGGAGAATAATTTCGTACTTTCTAAATTCGAACTTGTCAAAAATTCTTCTGATCATTGGAAATGTTGAGATGATAATCGTCTGCTTTGTGACATTTTCGGTTCCGAGTTGAAACCACC